CTGTGCAGGGCCCTCCCGCGGTGAGTACCCCCGCCTAGGCCACCCTCCTGTGGTGCCTGGGCCACGACCTAAGCCTAACCCGGTCCTCCTCGCCCTCCAACGCCCGGCCTTCCCGCCTCAGCCGGCCGCCGCGTCCCTACAGGGGCTAGCGCGCTTGGACAAAGTAACTCTACCGGGACCCTAGCGGACCAGAGCGGGAAGGATGGCCATCTCCGCAGCCAGAGCCAGAGCCCCACGTCCCCTGCCGCTGCCCCTGCCCGGCTTCGGTGCGGGTGGACTGGGTGCCTCAGTTAGGGCTCTTGGGGGGAAGGAGGGGGCCGGCGCCGGGTGGTTGGCGTGCAGAAAGCTCCAAGAAAATGGAAGTGGGACAGAGCCGGGGAAGTCTGAGACCCCTAGACACCTTCGCTTTAGGGGATGGCAGAAGGGAAGGGGAGACTCGTGTTTGCAGTGTAGACGCGATTTTCAATTCCCTTTGCCACTGGGTCCCCATAGCAACCCCGTGGCGTAGGCGGAAGGCTGTGACTCTCCATTGCCCGGGGTCGCGAGTGTTCAAATTGCAGGGGGCGTCTGTGTGCACGCTCGTGTGCCTGTGCGTGGGTACGCGCGCGTACCTGTGTGTACATGCATGCATGTGTACAGATATGTGCATCTGTGCCTGTGTGTGCTGTTTGTGGATGCGTGTTTCTGTGGATGCGCGTTTCTGTATGTTTGTACGTGTGTATTTGTGTGGTGTGTATGCGTGGGTGTGCGTGTGTACACATGCACGTTTGTATACATGCATGGGTATGTGTATGGGTGTGTGTTCGTCTGTGCGTGTATGCACGTGTTTGTGCGTGTGGGCACGTGTATGCACACACGTTTTTTCTGAACCCCACCTCACTAAAAGGAAGAGAGCTTCTTTCCTCTGAGAGCCCATCCCGTTTTCCTTTGGTGAACGGGGTTTTGTTAAAGAAAAAATTCTTCTGACGCTTTAAAGGCTCTTTAGTCAGGTTACTTGCAATGGGAGTGTTGGCCAGCAAAGCCCGCTGGGGATGTATGCGGGAATGGGAGCGGGGATCTGGGGGTGGTTAGTGGTTGGAAAGTGATTAAGGGAAGGCTCCAAGGGTAGGGGCTTCTCCCTAAGCTGACCTAGCAGGCTGCTCCAGAAAGGCAGGTTGAAGACCTAGAGGAGGAACTGATCAGATGTGGAGCTGGGGGTAGCGAGCAGCAGGCAGAAGTGGTCCAGGCCCAGTGGAGAGGAGAGGCAGAGGGGCCTGGCAAGCATTGGTCAGGGAGGGTCTGTGTAGTTTCTGGGGAGGCATCTGTGTTGGTTATTGACAAGGCTATAAAATGACTCTGGACCCTCTAACTGGACCGCAGTCCTAGCCCGCCTCTGTAAAGGCAGGCTGTACAGGAAGGTTGCACACTGCCAGCACCCAGAGCATCGGGCCCGCTCCCTCCCACCTCTCTCCACAGTCCCTCAACTTGGGAACCCGCCTCGTGTCTCCCAGGAGCCATGGAGGCTGTGGAACTCGCCAGAAAGCTGCAGGAGGAAGCTACGTGCTCCATCTGTCTGGACTACTTCACAGACCCTGTGATGACCGCCTGTGGCCACAACTTCTGCCGCGCGTGCATCCAGCTGAGCTGGGAGAAGGCGCGGGGCAAGAAGGGGAGGCGGAAGCGAAAGGGCTCCTTCCCCTGCCCCGAGTGCAGAGCAATGTCCCCGCAGAGGAACCTGCTGCCCAACCGGCTGCTGACCAAGGTGGCCGAGATGGCACGGCAGCATCCTGGCCTGCAGAAGCAAGACCTGTGCCAGGAGCACCAGGAGCCCCTCAAGCTTTTCTGCCAGGAGGACCAGAGCCCCATCTGTGTGGTGTGCAGGGAGTCCCGGGAGCACCGACTGCACAGGGTGCTGCCCGCCGAGGAGGCAGTGCAGGGGTACAAGGTGGGCCACAGGTCAAGGAGAGGAGGCATCCAGGGGTCAAGGTGACCCAGATCATGGGGGAAGGAGAAGGTGTCCAGGGACAAAGTGGCCCAAGTCAGGGGCTGGGGAGGGGGCGTCCAGGGAACAAGGTGGCCTGGGGCTGGGGAGTGTCTGTGGGGACAATGTGGGCCTACACTGTATGATGCAGGCATTGCAAAATCTTACCTCTCCTCTCTTATAGTATTTTGGGTGGCTCTGAGAACCAAACTGATTTGAGACAGATGAGCAGAAGCAAAGCACTGAATTTCATTCCCTATAAGCTTTCCATGACCCAGGAGTCCCTCCTGAGGAGCCGGAGGCCCATGGAAGCATGTTAGAGCCAAACACATACCTGAGGAGGATGAGGGTTAGCTTAGCAGGGTCCCTTTGCACAGATTTCTCTGGTTTCGGCTTTCCTGCCCTTGGTAAGAACATGGCTTTCCTCCTGGCCTAGGGCAGGCCTATCCGGCATGGTGGGCTGTGCCTTCTGCTCTTAGGAAGGCCGAGGATCACAGCAATTCTTACACCTGCCCTTTTTTAAGTGCTTTTAGCTCAAAATAATCCAAGGTGGCGCATTCTGGGTGATGTATTTTGATCCCCTGCCCCTTCTGAGGAGGGTCTCTGGGGTGGGTGCAGTTTCAGCAAGCACAACTGTACTCTAGGCAGAAGGTGGGCAGATCACTGATCCCAAATCCTGCGGTTTGTGTGTTCCACAGTTGAAGCTGGAGGAGGACATGGAGTACCTTCGGGAGCAGATCACCAGGACAGGGAATCTGCAGGCCAGGGAGGAACAGAGCTTAGTCGAGTGGCAGGTGGGTGTCTGGGGCCGTCCAGTCCCTTTCCTGCTGCTGCTCCATCTTCCTGCGTTTACATGTCTGTGTCTGCCTGTGGGGATATGCTGCCTCAGTGGCAGGAAAAGAAAAAAGCTGCCTCCACCCTTCTAGGTTCTATGGCTGGCCTCAGAATGAAACTGACTTAAGACAGATGAACAGCAGAGAAAAAGATAAAAAGGCAATTTTAAATTACAGATGCACACATAGGGTGGGGAGAAGGGACCTCAAAAATCAGACTTAAAGAGGCAGCCAGAGGGTGGGGGCTCAGTACCACAAAGGAGGCAGCCAGAGGGTGGGGGCTCAGGAGGCAGCCAGAGGGTAGGGGCATAGGTCGGCACCACAAAAGAACAGGGCTTGGAGCCTCTGGGCTGGGGAGGCAGATAATGTTGGTTAAGTATTTAAGCAAGTGTCTCAGATGAAGAGTTGTTTTTGGGAATCTCTTCCTTATGTAGATGCCCTGACCACTGGAAATTTCCTTCATGAAAGGGCACTTTTTTATTTTTATTTTTTTGAGATGGAGTTTCACTCTTGTTGCCCAGG